GAAGAATAGTGCTTCTAATGGAAGCACATGATCCTGATAGATATTGGTATTCTAGTTTGAACAAGACCCTTCAGTAGATGGATTGATATGCCCAAGTGTCCATTCGGGGATGGTGTTCTAGTCCTTACAGACCCAAGGAAAAATAAATGAATAAAGAAACCTCTAGTATAACTGTGACCTACTTACAAAAGGTACATCCATGTGTCAACAGCAGCAGAAAAGTCTAATAGCAAGAGTAAGGAATAGTGGCCATTGTTTGTTTTTAGCAGTCAGTAAGTCATTAGTGAGTTTTAGGAGCACAGTTTCAGTGATGTATTGTGGGCAAAAAACAGAATGTAAGGGGTTAAATAGGTTGCTTTAAGTGCGGTGGCAGCTTAGGTGGTTGTAGATTAGGAATTCTAGGAGTTTGACGGTGAATGGAAGTAAGGATATTGATCTAAGATTTTTCAGGTTGGTGGGTTACAGTGAAGGTTGTTTTCAATATGGGGTAACCAGTGCATGTTTTATAGAGGAGGGTAAGATACCAGCAGAGAGGGAAAGATTGAAGATGTGAAAAAGAGAGTGTAGAAGAAAGCAAGAGTGACTGGAGTAGTGGTGAGTGAACAGGGGGCAGGTGGTGAGACAGATGTCAGAGAAAAGCTTTGTAACTTCCTTTGTAATGACTAGGTCAAAAGACGTAAGTAACAAATGTGGTGGTTGGCTTGATGCATAAATTGGGGGAGATAAATGGATAGTGGACATCTCCTTACTAATTGCTGAGGACTGGATGAGCTGTAAAGGTAGAAAGAGTTGATGGGGACTGGATAAGTGTGTATTAATGAGTGGCAAACTAAGTGTGTTTGGCAGCATGGAGGGAGGAATTCTATTTTAGGAGAGCAGCTTTACAGGGTGAGGTTTTGCAGGGATCTAGTTTTACGCTGAAGAGCATGGCTACGCCTTAAGTTTTTTTCTGATATTTTTTTTTTTTGCCAAGGTTGTAGTGGACACGGCTTACGTTTGCATGTAGTGAGAGCAGCCAGTGTACCTAGAGAGGATGAGTGAGCTTTTGCACTCACAATTGACTGATAACTGGTTGGGGGATTTGGGGTTGGGGACAGGGTAAGCATGAAACTGACAAGGTTGCGGTCAGAGAAGAAAAGGGGTGTTGGAGAGGTTGCAGAGCAGAGATGAGAGAACACAAGGTCTAGTATATGGCCATCAGAGTGAGTAGTAGTGTTTTGTCTATTAGGTCAAAAGAGATAAGGTTGAGAAGCTGAGTGGTGGCCGGGGTGTTAACATCAATAGCAATGTTGGTCACCAAGAATGATAGTGGGTAATTCAGAGGAGAGAAAGTCAGGTAGGTAGGCAGGCAGTATATATTCATGCAGCTTGTAGATCTAAAATGTATTCACTCATAATTGTGGGTCCAATTCTTTATAATTTTTTCTTATTCTTCATACTTTTCTGTTGTATCATGGATATAATTGTATCCTTGGGGATTAGTCTGTAGCTACAGTCAAGTAGTATTGGTGATCTTTTTGAGTTCTATTGTTTCTCTTATCATTAGTAATAAAATGATTTTAACCACTTGCTGCCCGGAGCAGGCAGCATTTTTTTTTGCGTTCTCACTGGACCCGAATGCTGGCAATGTTTTGCCGCGCGTCCGATCGCACTGCGGGTGGGGACATGGCTGCAGTGCCCTTGACTTCAATGCAGCACCACGCCCCCTCCTGCCACAGAATGCAGAGGGACGTTTAGTGTGGCTGCTGTGCATTGCAGCAGCTACTGCTCTGGAATGCACCGCAATGTTTGTGAATGGGCCCTAAAAGGTGTTTGAAATACAGGTAAATATAATAAAATTAGTTATGTACACACGGAGAAAAATGAAATCATATTAAATATTACTAAACCAATTAATTTTATTTCCTTCCACAGCATTTATTTTATATTTATTATTTTTGAATACACCTCCACAATAAAACAGAAAAATGAAATCTATATTAATACTACTATAACAATCTATTTTATATATTTCTTCCCCACTGATTTAGCCCAGCAGTGGATACATTTATATATTTACATTACCTATATTTGTTTTTCCTTTGCCCAGGTGGTGTAGTGGGCAGCCCAGCTGCTGCATGTCTTCCACTATATCATTTTTTGGCAAGTTATGCGGGACCCCCCTGCACCACAATCACCTGCCTCCCCCCCATATACAGACTCCTACCTTTCCTGGGTGCCTTCTCCTGGGCGCAGTACCTCTTTGGGGATGTGCCGTCCATGTGGGCTTGGCTCTATGCCAGGGACATGCTGGTGGCTCCCCCAGGGCTCCGGGCGCTTGTCTGAGCATGCATTCCGTGCATGCTTCCCCATCCTTCCCTCACTCCTCTCCCGGCAGAGAAACAACTGCTGGAGAAACAACATCCTCCATTCTGGCTTGCTGTTGGGGCAGGAGGACGGCTTCCTCCTCTCCCTGGATTATAAACTGCTGTTGGGGAGGGAGGACAACCACCTCCTCTCACGGACTGCTGATCTGCCGCTGAGGAGAAAGGCTTGCCACATCTTCTCCTTGGATCCACGGAGCCACTGTAGGTCATAGGCAAAGGCCAGCAGCTGTCTGCCCTGTTTCCAGCTCTTCAGCTGGCAGGACATGAGACAGCGGTTCCTCTGCATTCAAATCTATAAGGTCCCATATGTCTGAAGCTGGTGATGAGGAAATGGGGTTGGCCGCCATCTCTCCCAAGAGCTTCAGGGGGGCTATGGGTGCGGGACAGCACTCTGCCCTGTTGCAAGCTTTTCCGCTGGAAAGTAAAATGCTACTTTGGTGGCATTACAGAGAGACTCCAGGGCCACTGACTGTTGTAGGCAGAGGCCCGTGGTGCTCTGCCCTGATGCCAACTCTTCAGCTGGGGTTAGTAGTTCCACTGCATCGGCCTGCTGTTAGGGAGAGGGGCTGCCTGCCCCGGCTCCCTGGAGCTCCAGAGGTGCTGTTGGTGCTGGGCAGAGGTCGGCAGCGCTCCGCCCTGATGCCAGCTCTTCCGTTGGGGTTAGTAGCTCCATAATATCTGTAGTTGCTGGGGCATGCTGTTGAGCAGTATCGAACAGTCTTTTGTATGCCTGTTACAGCTCCCATTGTGTAATTAAAAAGTCCAAACCGGTTCTCAATCCAAGCTCACTGGGGAGTTCCAACTCTAAAATCACGTATGTCCTCCCATCTCCACTCCCGTGCACTACCAAATTACGGATCCTCCTGGAGCGTCTCAAATATAAGTCCCGGACCAGCGAAGTCGCAGCCCATTCAAAATGAATTGGCTGCGTTAATCCAATGCAAGTTAACATGCAGCATGTGCTAACACACCAGTGCACTGCAGAAGTCAAGAGAGGGGGCTTATATTTAAAGGATAAGTTCACCTTTTGCAAAAATTAAAGAGATGCATTATATATATATATATATATATATATATATATATGCATTTTTTATTTTTGCATTTTTGCATGCAAGCCTGGAAAGCATTGCAATTGTGATCACTCGATCGGGGCTGCAGAGCTCAGGCTTCCGCACATTCTCTCCCAGGCAGAGCTAGTACAGAGTTTCATTTACTAGAGATGGGAAAGGGTGGCTGGATGGGAATAAGGACGGCTCTACCGCATCTAACAGGGAGAGGACTCCTGGGCACTACATGACCTGATTTAATGCAGTTTGAAGTCCAGCCGTCTTTCCCCATCTCTCAGCTGAACTCCGTACCTCAGTATGGAGCTTTGCCTGGGAGAGAATTGTGCAGAAGCCTGAGCTCTGCAGCCCTGATCGAGTGATCCCAGTTGAACTGCTTTCCAGGCTTAAATGCAAAAACTAAAGAGAGCTTTTTTTTTAAAATATATTAAATATGCATTTCTTTTATTTTTGCAAAAGGTGAACTTTTCCTTTTAATCCTCCAAACTGAACACTAAACCTAACCCATAAAGTAACTCTAAAACTAACCTAAACCTTATTCTGATACTGCAAAGTATGTATCGTATTAAAAACAAACACCATTGACATCTTGGCATCACGATTGCCTGATCTGATGCCATGAGGTAGGTTAAGTAACTGAGCTGCTTGTTTTGGTATTGCCCTTTTTTGGTCATGGAGCATGTCCCAAAATGTCCTGAACATTTTAGTTCACTGCAGTTCTTTCTTTAAAATGTATAATGGTGCATTTGTACAGTTTTAATTATGTACAATAGACATTCTTCTTCATTTTTTTTTAATCAAAGTGATTTGTGTGACTCCACACATGAAATAGTCTTGCTGTAATTAACTGCTTCAATTGCCTCTGCTGTTATTTTAAACATACCCTGCAATATGTAAAATGGACAAAATCGGCACTATATTAGGTTTTAATGTTTTAAATATTCTCCCTGCAGTTTTCCAGAGGTATGGAACATACAGCAAGCATGATGTCAATAAAGCATTGAATCTGGAGCTTAAAGGAGATATCGAAAAACTTCTTACAGCCATCGGTATGTAGTCTAATAAACATAAAATCCAAGCTGTTGTATTTGGGGATATCAAGATTTCTGAAAAGGGATTTTTTTTTTTAAAGCTAAAGTCCTAAACACATGTATACTTACCGCTGTTTACTTTGAGTAAGACCTAGTCTCCCCTAGCTCCAGCTCCGCATTATACTACTCCTAATAGGAGCTATGCCAATCCTCAATCTAATGTATCTGTGTGTAATTCTACTGTGGTGCAGGTGACATCTTCGTGTCACGTTAAAGCTTATATGAGATTTGAGTTGTTGAATTTACATTAGTTTAACAAAATATGCTTGAGTTTTTTCGAATTGCAGTACTGTTGTAAATTTTCCTTTGTGCACATGTCTGTACACCCAAAATTTGTTATCTATTCGACTAATATGTGTGTGCAACAACTGATTTATAGATAGCTCTTCAATTGATAACATCTTAGTTTTTTTGCAGTACGTCGCTGCAATGTTTGTTAAAAATAAAATAAAAAATTGTGCAACTAAAGCACTCTACAACCTTCCCTTCCCACAACTCCCCTTTGCATCCCCCAAAGTGTTTTTTTTTTGGGTTGTGTATATAATATATTTCTACTGTGACAGTGAGGCAAAAACATAAAAAAAACCTTGTTACCGGAAGTTCTAACTCTACTTCACTTTGCTAAAAATTAGTTTGTTTTTGTTGATGTCCTATTTTGAGATTTTCCATCACTTTCTGTCACTTCTTCTTCCTTCCAAATGCAATGCTTTGTGGTATAGGCAAAATGTGATAGCTTCAGTGGGTTTTTGGCTTGTCAGACGTATCCATTATCTGGAAATGTAATGAGAACTGTGCTACAGTAGTTATCGCTAAGCAAATACAGCTGAGGTTTATAAAGGCTACTGATCATATTATATTAACCAGTTGCTGACCGGGGTGTTAAACCCCCTTTTTACCCAGGCTATTTTTCAGTATTCAGCACTGCGGTACTTTGACTGACATTTATTGCGTCATACAACGCTGTACTGACATTAATTTCATCACATTTTTTTAGGGACAGATAGAGTTTTTTTTTTGGTGGTATTTAATCACCACTGGGATTTTTATTTTTTACTATATAACGAAAAGAGGTCCGTAAATTTTGAAAAAAAAAAAGTTTTTTTCCCTATGTTCTGTTATAAAACATTTATTACCCAATTTTTTGGTAAAATATAAAAGATGGTGTCAAATCGGGTAAAAAGACACCAACATGTCAAGTTTTAAAACTGCGTGCGCCCACAAAATCGCAAAAAACTACCATGCCTAAAATTGACCATAGGCGAGGCTTTAAAAGTTTTTACCGCTCATCAGTTTAGTGTTATCAGTGATTGATGGGGCTAGAATTATTGCTCTCACTGCGGCGATATGCAACATGTGCGGCGCAATTGTTGTTTTTGCACGTACGCGCGCCCGACGCGTATTTACGTATATAAGTGCGGGGAATTAAAACAATTATATATGGGTTATATGAGCCGGCCAAACGGTTGTATGAGACAGCTGGTAACGGCTGTTATTCTTCCCGGCGGGTGTCTGGTTGCGCGCGCCCGCGTGCAGAAAAAAAGACGTACATTTACGTGACCCAGCCGGGAAGGATCCGCCGTCCGCCTGTAATTTTACGATGGGCGGACAGCAAAAGGTTAATAGACAGCATAGGTATTGAACATTAAAAGGTATGGTAAATATGTGCAATTTGGTGTGTGTGTACACATATGGTTGCATTTATTTGTATGTTTAGAAAAATTAAGCACGCATCTCTGATTTGTGCTCTCTCTCTTTGAACAGTGAAATGTGTTGCATGCAGACCCGCTTTCTTCGCAGAAAGGCTTTATTTGTCAATGAAGGTATGATGATTAAAAGCATATTCAGGTTACAGCGAATGAAAAGAAAAACTAATCTATGAAACCAGTCTGTCTGTTTGTTTAAAAAAGAACTCCGGGCAGAAATATTCTTATCCCTTGTTGTGGGGCTAACCCTGCATTGCAAGGGTTAAGTGCTCGTTTTGTCTAGAGATGAAAATAAAAGTGATACTTATCTGAGCCTAGCAGCCAGCTGGCTGTTGGGTCCCTGGATCCTAACTCCTGTGGTATAAGGTCCTAGGAGCCATTACATCCTATAGTGTATTGGATGCGGAGGGACATCCTATTGCTGGAGCAGAGTAGTAGATAGTTCTTCTTCAATGGTCCTAAACAAGCCACAAGCAGCAATTGTGTTGTTAATTCAGTATTCATTGATGCTCCTACACTGACAGATTGGGCTGGGTGACAACACGTCCTCTGGCATGTGTGGCACAATCTGTAACATTACATTATGGTCATGGTCAAATGCGTGACATTTAGAATGTCCTGATTATACAAGGGACAATAAAAAACTTTGTATGAGAACTGTATACATGCATTGATGCAACCTCTGTACTACAAAATTGTACTTTCTTGCCATTTCATATCAGTCAGGGTTGACTCATGAATGCCTAAATAGATGCTACAATTGGTAATGAGCTGAACATACCCCAGTTTGGTTCGGAGCTGGTTTGGCAAACTTGACCTAAGTTTGGAATTCTGAATCTGAACCCCACTGAAGTCAAAAAGAGCCAAATCTTAAAAATCATCAAACACTTTTTTTTTTAATTTCATCTGGTGGGGAGCAGTGAATTTAATAAGGCTTAAAGGGCACAGTTAAAATGTCCAGTTCCAAAAAAAAAAACATGCTTGAGGGATGTCCTACACCTGCATGTGAAGTGGCATATCTGTTTGTATACAATATACTACATTAAATCTGCCATTTACAGAGGAAGAAAAAAACATGGTTAACCACTTGCTGTGCGGAGCATTTTCTTTTTGCGCACACATGATAAAATAGAATTTTTTGGCTAGAAAACCACTCCAGACCTCAAACAATGATATATTTTCTAAAAGCAGAGGACCTGTAGTATAAAAAGATGCTAATTGCAATTGTATATGCTGCATGGTATTTGCGCAAATGTTTATCAAACCAATATTTATAGGATAAAATAAACTAAATTAAAATTTAGTGCACAGAAACATAATACCCAATTTTTTGGTAAAATATAAAATACGGGGTCACGTTGGGTAAATGGATACCAAACATGTCAAACCTTAAAATTGCGTTCGCCCATGAAGCTGCAAAAAACGTTGATACCCAAAATTTCCCATAGGCAACAATTTAAACGCTTTTACCGCTCATCAGTTTAGTGCCAACAGTGATTAATGGCTCTAGAATTATTGCTCTCACTCCGACATTCATGGCGATATGTAACATGTGTAGCGCAATTGTCTTTGCATGTAGGCACACTGCATGTATGTGGGGGGCTGGGGACTTTCAAACTTGTTATTCTTTATTTTATATATATATATATATATATTAGTGCGTGACAGGTCCTCTTTATGGAGACATCAGGGGTCTTTAAGACCCCTAATGTCACCTAGGGACCCCAAAGAAGCTGAGGAAGCAGACATCTGCTTCCCCAACTTCTTCTCCTGGTGATAAGAGCCGGAGAATGTAAATAGTGACACCAGAAGTGAAGTAATACACATCACTTCCAGGTCCAGTGATTGGAGGAGAGATTAGCAGCTGGAAGCGGGACAGCGCCACATTGTACAAACGATCTGGCTGCTGTATAGACGCTTGTATATTAACAGCCACCGCTGGCTGTTAAAAATGCTGCAGCAGCCGTGTTCTTGTTTTAACCACTTCTGCGGGCCGCCGTATAATAGACTTATTGTGGCCCGGAAGTGGTTAAAATTGCTGGTAAATGACATATGCAAACAAGCATCTTGGGATTCCTGTCACCTATACCAGACATGTATCCAAGATGAGGATCTGGTATACATTCTGTATGGGGAACCCCATGCAAAAAAAGAAAAACAATCAGCATATGGGGTTCCCCGAAAAATCTGTACTAGACCCCTATTCTTGATTTAGGATTTGGTACAGGTATCAAGGGGTACCCTGCACAAAAAAACTCAATGCAGCCCCCCAAAATCCATACCAGGTCCTTTTATGTCTGGTGTGGATTTTAAGAGGGGGGCCCCATGTAACCCCCAGGGAACTCCTAGCAGACCCTATTCCAAGCCAGGACTGGGGGTGGGAAACAAGTGTGCACCCCCTTCTCCTGAACCATACCAGGCCACATATCCTCAACATGGGAAGATTGCCATGCCGGTGTGGACAGCTCACCTTTTGTCAAAGATTAAGAACAAAATGTCCTATACATTTTAAGAAAAAGCTCAAAAAAAATCAATGTACTAGAGGCATAGCTGATAACTTGTTAGCCCTAGGCCAGGGGTAGGCAACCTTGGCTCCCCAGCTGTGCTAAAAACTACAAATCCCATCATGCTTCTGCCTCTGGGAGTCATGCCTGTGGCTTGCGATGCCACAGGCATGAGCTGGAGAGCCAAGGTCAGGTAAGGAAACTTTACAGTATACAGTATACAGTTTACAGTATAACTTTATATTTGAAACACACCACATTGTAAAGTTTACAATTCATATATGTGTAATTAGAATATTGTGTGTGTATATCCCAATAATTGTCAGGCATGGTACCATTTAAACTGCTACCATTAAAACTTTCCTTTTTTCTTTGTGTTGTACACAGGGTTCTGGAACCAAAGATAAAATTTTGATTCGAAATATTGTGTCCCGATCAGAAATTGACATGCCTGATATCAGGACCCAATACAAGAGGATGTATAACACATCCTTGCGCCAGGCCATTTTGGTAATTATGATATCTTCTCTTTTCCAAATGAATACAAATGTTCTGTGCATTGTAGTGTATATTTTGTCAGCCTACTATGATAACTGAGTAAAATGTCAAAACAGTGACCAATATCAGAGGAGACCTAGCTCTAAAATGTTCTGTATTATAAATGACCATTGGGTGACCAATTTCACCTAATGAGGTTGTAATTTACTAAGCTATAACAATTATTTGATTTCAGAGCTGGTATATGTAACAGTAATAGCCAATGAGAGTTAAAAACATGAATGAAAATAACAATCCCTACAGCTAGTGACGCAACATGGTTATAGCTTGGTTAACTGAACCTTTTTTTTCTTTTTTTAAATACTGTACATAGTATAGGCAAGGTTTAACAGAGAACATGACTATCCATACATGGGTACAAGGGCGTAGCTAGAAATCACAGGGCCCCATAGCAAAAGTTTCTATGGGGCCTTGTGATTTCTAGTTCCGCCCCTTGCAGAGCCCACCATAGACTCTCTATGGTGGGCTCTGCAGGATCTCAGGTGGGCTGGTCACACCCCTGCTCCACCTCCTTCGCCGCAAGCTGCTGGCTGTCCCTGACTCAACAGCGGCTGTGGGGAGGAATGCGCCGCGGCACGTTCGTTCCTCCTCACAGCTGCAAGTGACAGCCAGAGATGCCATAGCGACCCAGGCGGCCATGAGCCATCAGGGGAACCTCATTTTGCCCCTATTAGGATGCAAACAGACATCACTGGCACATTAAAGCCACTTTACCACTAAGTAGCAAGTGAATACTTTTCTCACCTGTTGCACTTCCCCTGAACACCACTCCAAAGCTGATCTGCTGTTTCCTCCACTCTGTGGTGCCTTCCACCAGCCCCTACAATTTTACTGAATTCAACACTTGCTTATAATTGTCTCAAGTTAACAGAACCCCATATGTTCAAGTCTGAAAAAAGTGGCACAAAACACAAATGCATGAACAGAAACATATGTGCTTGTTTTGCTTTATTATTTGTATTATTTGCTATTCTCTTCTATTTTTATTTATAGGATGACACCAAAGGAGATTATGAAACCATTTTGTTGACTCTTGTTGGAGGTGCTTAAATAATGTTTGACCAATTCAAAGCAGAAGATGTAGAACTACTAAAGCTGATGAATATAGTGGCCACCTCCATAACTATGCATATCCTCGATATCTCAAAGACCATTAAAACATTCCAGTTTAATAAAATTGCTTACATGTGTGTTTCTAGTGTTTTATTTGATGTTATTATGACTATTTTAACTCCATG